TATCAGAACTCCTCAGTTCACTATGGCATGGATTTTTCATTTCAAATAATCTGGGCCAAAAACATGCATTTTTTTTCTCCTGAAGTAAACATTCATAATTAGATTATTCCCGGGTGGGCTTCACTATTACTAAGCTTTTATGCTGGTTAGATTATGTTTGGTAATATGTATCTGATTTTGGAAATACTATTTCTTGATTTTATTTTGAATAGAAAGTAAAGCAATTGTCCTTTCAGAAGAAGCAGTAGTTGAGGTCTATCTGTATTGATAGTTGTGCTCTACAGACAGTATTTTTATAAATACATTCTTGTGTAAAATGTGTAGAATATGAGAAAATTGGATTCTTAGCTTTCTTATTGCACAAGATTAGCTTAAATTACTTCAATGACTCTCAATGACTCAAAAGAACAGTTTTGATAGACAGATTCAAATTAGTACCCAATAAAAAAGTACATTTATTCATTTGTAGTTGAGCTAAAAGCTTAGTCTTGCAGTAGCAGAAGATGAAAATGCATTATGGAGATAAGCAGTCAACTTCCTTTGGCCAGATAAAATGTAGTGAAAGGAAAGACAGAGAAGAATCTGTGTATGTCAAAGACATTGTCTGGCCCTGTACCTCTTCTGGAGTGTGAGTGCTTAGCTGTGATTAGAAGGAACGTCAATGAAATATGAATGCATTGTAGCACTTCTGACCATATTATACTGGATCTAAATTGTGTTTGAAGTAACCCCTCTTTATCTGAACTAGAAGCATGAAAGAAATTAATAAAATATATGAGGATAAGGAAAGAGCTTTTGTACTTGCCCCCTATATAATAGTAATATCCTGGTGCAACATATACAGTAAGGTGACATTGTCATTAGGCTTTTTCTCAGTAAGTCATTTGCACTTCACAAACTGAATGTTGTGTCAAAGCTTAACATATTTCTTACCTGGCATGCTCTTACTTTGGGAGGAGTGATCTATTGCAGGCATAACCAAAATGACATTATAAATACAGTGCTGATATTGCTAATATTTGCTTGGTACTGCTTACAGAACCCATCACCTAAGAATAAATGAAGCACAAACCATAGGTAACATCAGAACATCCAGACAGAGGGTGTACTTTTCCTATTTAGTGCATAAAGTCAACAGCCAGACCAATCATTAATTCAGCCAGATCACACAGTGAGTAACTACCAGGAGTGCAAATGAGAAGCCAGGAATGCTGACTAGGCCTTTTTGAGATCTGGAGACCACTTCCAAAGTCCAACTTGAAAAAGAAAAAAAACACATTTCTTCTTTGTGTGTGATGTAAAGACTTCCAAAACTTCTCCAGCTTGACTTTGCATAATAGAAGAGATGCAGTTCTTTGATAGTATGGTCTTTCTCACCTAGCTGAAATATGATGCATCAGTGAAGAACATTTTGCAGAGATGTGAGATTTTCTAAACAGCTTCAAGACAAAGGGAGGTTTGCTAAGCATTGATGCTGAGCTTAGCCAGGGAGAGCATAGATTTTGTGCTGCTGCTTCTTTTTCCCTTGAAAACTCTAAACCATTTCACAAACTTCAATGTCTAAAACTTCTCAAAGCATTAAAGAGAATGCTTTAACTTAATTCTTAACTTTATTGAACAGAGGAAAAAATCAGAAGCATTAGGTCTGACTGACTCCTTCATTGTCACAATGAATCCCAGAGACCTTAGTCTCTGATCCAGGTGCATAGGTATGAGCCTTAATTGTTCAGATGAGCAGTCCCATTGAACTGCAGTGCATGTGAGTAAAATTAACATCTACATGTTGAAAAGATTAATCCTAACTTTAACCATTAACTTTCTTTCCCCTCCCTAAAAAAAAAAAAAAAAAAACAAAAAAAAAAAAAAAAAAAAAAAAACCAAACAAACAAAAACAAAACAAAAAAAAACCCACAAAAATTAAATCTCCAAAACATAAGACAGTTTTGAGAGGGTTTTATATGACTTAGTTGGTCCGTTTTATGGACTTGGATTTAATGTAGGTAGCATTTGGTCTGCAGGGGTGTAACTTGTATTTTGTCTAAAGTTTTGACTATATCATTGGTGTGAAGCTGGATTTCTGAAAAGCACAGTGCAATCTTTCACCCTTTAACCAGTTTAACCTTTCAAGGAACCCATGGCAATTCAAGCTACCCATGTTATTATCTATAAACATTTGTTCTTCAAATATTGATGCTTTTCACAAAGTGGATTAACATTTAATTATTTTTGATGTGTTAAGGTATAAATTACCTTGTAAATGAAAATCAAATGCAGGGATAGGTAGCAAATTTTACTGACTGTGAACACCATGCTAACCCTGGGTGAAACATCTCTTATTATGTAGACTAATTTTCAAACCGCATTAATTCTGTTAATTAGTTTTAATGGCTTAGACATGTTAAAGACTGGTAGTTATTTTACCTGAGCATATGAGACAGAGTAGAAATCCATTTTGATTTAGGTGAAATGTACATCTTTGAGTTAAGTTTGTTTGTTTCTGCAAATCACATGAGCTACATGAGGTCAGTAATTCAGAAATTTTTATTGAAGTATCATTTTGTGTTTCAGCTGAAAAAGAAAATCCTAGTAATATTTTTTCCATGGATTCAATGTAATACTAAAAGTAATTACATAGGATTTCACTTGACACATGAAATAAACACTGGTAAGAATCCATTCCTAGAAGGAAGTAACTACTGAGCAAAGGCACGATAGGTAAAGCATTTCTTTTTTTAAGTGGGCACAGAACACTTCGGGGTTTTTTTGTTGTTATTGTTTGTTTGGTGGGTTTTTTTGGTTTGGTTTGGTTTGCTTTGGGTTTTCTTTTTTGTTTGTTTGTGAAGTCATTAAAGATTTGTGATTAATTAAAAGGTTTATTTATTTGCTTGGATACCAGATCAGAAATGTTTCTTTCTAGTTTTGCATGAGAAACTATAGGAGACCTCAGGGGTATTAATTATGAACCCTAGAAACCTAATGCCAGCAGGAGCATGGTGAACCTTGAGCAGATATAGAACCATTCTAAATTTTATTTCATTATTATAATTTTTTAAGTTGTTACAAAATGCAACAAAATTTTAGTAATTTTAAACAGTCTGATTCAAAGTCCTTTCTTCTCCTGACTCTTTTATCATGTGTTATTAGTTCTTCAGTGCAAGGCTTTTAAGCTTTAGACTTGCTAATCTGAAACTTAGCCAAAACAACCTTTCCAAGCTATTTTAGCCAAAAAAGGCCCAAAAGAGTAATTTTTAACATACAAAAATAGCAAAATTGCAACTGGGAGAAAAACTATTTCACCATCTACTTGTTCATTAAAATCCTCAAAATTATTTCACCATCTACTTGTTCATTAAAATCCTCATTTTAACTTTGGAGAGATACATGTATTTACAGTATGTACCGTGCATGTGCGTTGATATTCAAGATTTCCCAAACGGTTGTGGTTCTCATTAACATACGCAGTATAATAGCCTAAAGCAGTTTCCAAAACAGTGGACATACCTTGTGTTCTGGACCATGATTTAAACTGTCAGGTGACATATGATGTTAGATCTGGAAATGACATGCCAGTTTTGCAGTATTGTGTCAATACCAGTGCCAGCAACTTAAAAGATAAATGCTTCTTTAAATGAATTCAGAATGTTGGAATGAAGAGTGCTGTGTTTGAGTGCTGGCCTCCAGATTATTTTCGGCGGTTTGGTATTTTTTTTGTTCAGAGGAAAGTAAGAGCAAAAGTTCCTTTCAGTGTTACAGTGGCCACTGGATTTGCTCTGCTCTCTTAGGGAATTATTACCAGCATTTGGGTTTCTTTACCAGCGATTTGGTTTTATTGGTTTTCGTTTTTCCCATCGTGCCTCCTTACTAGTTATGTAATGCACAGTTTAGCAAAACTCTGAAGACTGTTTAGAGTTCCTGCCTTTCTGTAAAGCTAACAGCTAAACACCAGAGTTGATGCAAACAAGTCATTTAGCATCTGAAAGAAGTGTTAACACTTTATTTACATTTAAATTAAAATAGACACTTATTTATGTGTTCTGGTTCTGAAAGGTGTGTGGTACATCTGCAGAGGCCTATTGTTTATTCATGCTGTAAATCCTTTGAAATGTGTTAAAATGCTTCCCACTCATTATAAAAATCCTGCCACCCATGGATTAGGGCTTTGATGTCACCAATCCTGCTTCAAAGGGTTCTTTCAATGCTATTAATCACAGTTTAGCCTCTGAAGATATAGCCAGAGAAAACATTTGGACATCTTGTGCTAGACTTGCTAAAACTTTGAAATATACAGAGTGTCTTGCATATGCAAGCTCGATATCACTTCCTCTCTCTTCTCCTAGGCTTTATTTTGAAAAGCTATTTTGTGATGACTTTGGCTTTCTACAAGTACAGAAGAAAAAGTTTAGGACACGCCATACCTTACATTTTAAAAAAGCACTAGTCTTTTGCTTGACACCGCATATATTTTTGCCAGGGAAATTGAGTCAGTCTTTAAAAACCTGGAGTTGCAATAAGATTGAGAATTATATGTCAAAAGGTCAAAAAATGGTGTTGTGTTATCATTATCTCATCTCTCTCGTTAGTTTGTGAGTTTAAGATACTGTCTTAACACTTGAGGACCCATGTGATTTCATAGAAACAAGATTGATTCTCTAGTCTTTTTGCTCTTTGAAATCTCTCAATGAGTCACAGAGAAATTGATTACTAGTGATTGAGCTGTATGCCTTTGTGCTGTCGTTGTTTTCATCAGCTCAGTAGCTAAGGTCAGTGACATACCACCTTATCACTGACTTTTTCCTCCCCTCTAAATCAACACTGCACTCTGTCATGCCTGTGCTGAATGCTCTGCAGGCACAATTGGTAATGAGAGGGGTGTGGAAGAACCGTGATGGTGTCTGCTATTTTTAGTACTATTGTACAAACTGATTTTGCACAGTAAAAAATTTTCTCTTCTAAGCTTCTTGAATAGTTTTTGCAGTATGAATTTCTTTCTTTTTGAACAGGCAATTTGGCACAAGCAAGAGCCAGAGTGACAGCAGCATCTCGGTCTCTGCCTCCGCAGCTCAGTGCTGGGCGTATCAAGGTCAGTAGTGTTCCCTTTGAGGACAGGCAGTTGTTTATAAAATACTACAGTGAGACTATGTACACAATACTTAGCTGATGTGGCTATAGAGTGAGGTTCTTACCAAATAAGAGTCTGCCTTTACTACCAGCAACATGCACCTTGTCTTGGAGCATGGTTTCCAGTTTGAGTGATGAACCTATTGTAGAATTCAGTGAAGAATCAATTTACTACTGATTAATCTTTAAACCTTTGGAGTGGAATCTGTTACATCAATATCAATAGTCCTCTTTATTCCAAAAAGATCAAGGTTTTCCTCTGACAAATTTGATCTAGAAAGAGGTCATATTAGGTAAAATTTGAGTAGTGTGTTTAACAGTATGAAAGGCAAAATTTCTATTTCTAATAGATAATATTATCTATTTCTTTTTTATTCAACTTGGAAATTAAAAACCAGGAGATGTTTGTGACTGGTAGATAACTGGAAAAGCATTACTCAGCAAAACCACTATTCTGTAAAAAGAACTGTAGAATTTAAATACTGCTGAATTTTGCCTTGAAAGTATATGGCATAACTGCATAAAATACTTTTATGGCAGTTAGTAGGATTACAACAGAGTACACTTAAGTTGTGAGGAAACCTGTTGTCCCTTGAGGCTGATGGTATGTACACTCCCTCCCTGCTTCCTAAGTGGTACTTGTTAGACTTAGCTTAGGTAAGGTTTGGGGGTTTGGGTTTTTTTTCAAAGCAAAGACTAATAAATTTTTAAAACAAGAGTGGTAACAGCAACTGTTCAAAAGTCTACAAAATTTTATGTTTTGGGTTTTCTACTTCTTGTTATCTTCTGATATTTGGAGCTCAGGCTCAAACATCAGTGTGGTGATTTATGTCATCCAGATGTCTATATCCTTCACTGTACCTGCAAATACAGATGTGGATTTCAGACTATTATTTCCTGTCTGGTGTAAATACTTGCAGTGCTGAAGGGTGGCCTTTCCAGTTTTCTTGTGTTACATACACATTTTCTTCTACATCCAGCTATATTCAGCACAACCTTTCTAAGCACACATTTTATTGATACAGCAGGATTGCAGTAGAGCAGTTAACTTCTAGAGCTTTACTAAACACAATGAGTTAATAAGTACTGTTTAAGTGGGCTTTACTCATCCTTCAAACTTTTTAAGAGGAGCTAAAAGAAAAGACATGCAGAAGTGCAACACTGTTCCGAAAATGTTAATTTCAACACTTTTTAGATAAAAACCCCCTATTTCTTAGAATTTTGTAAAGCACCTAATTAAAACAAATTCAGGAAACATTTTAAATTATTATTTTAAGATTTGTTTTAAAAAATCCAAATGTAATAATTTTGTTTGGAAGTTTTTTTTATCATTATTTAATTTAAGAGGGGGTTTTGCTCAACATATTTTTTGGTTTTATAGCATTTCATACCATGCCAGAAGCAGGTGTAGTCAATATGTGGAAAGTCATAATTTCGAGTGACTTCGTAAGGTGCCATGATGTCATAAATCGATCTTTTAATATTGTTTCAAAACTATTAGAAGAAATCTTTTTTGTGATGAAACAATTTGACTTTTGTAGGTCAGGCTGTTTTCCATTACAGTTGTAATTATATGAATTCATGTTGTAGGTCACTGTAGCTGTCATGTAAAAATGTGACTTAATAGTTGAAATATCTTCATTTTTGTTTAAAAAGAGAAGCTAGTGATTTAAAATATGAGGTACCATGACATTCCTATTCTTAGATCATGACATTCTTTTTATGCTCTGGTAATTTCTAGCAAGCCAGTTGTGAGAAGACCTATTGTCTGTTGTATGTGAGGTTGTTGCCCTATCGTAAAATTGGGTGGCTTCATAGACAAGCAGTGTTAATGAGAGACAAAACTTCTTAAAAGTTTTACAAGAAAAGCCCCTCAGCTTTAGGGTCTATCATAATTTTTCTAATGAAAACTTTAAACATTCCTTGTCAAAAAGATTTGGAAAATTATCTAGTTCTTACCTATTGCAGAGATCTGAATTTACAACTTCATTCATAGGAAGAGAAATCTAACATTACTGCTTTCAGCCTAATTTTCTGAGAAAAATTGTTTTACATCTCCTCTGTGAGTGTTTCTGACCATCTGTCTTTCTGTGCATTCGTTCCCTTTGCTGCCCCAAAAAAACCTCAAACCAAAAAAACTCTTTTGAGCCCAGCAGCCTGTTGTAAACCGTATTTGATAGATTGGAAGTCCCAAGAGAGTAAGATTCTACAGTTTTGGTGAAAATAAGCAGCTGTGAAAAGGAGATGATACTGCCCTTTATTGACCAGCAGATATATGAGATATGAATATGAGATTGTGAGTGGTCAGTCTCCAACAACATCACTGAGTCTCTGCTTTTCTTGACAGAAGAGAATCCTCTTTAGAACCTCATATTCATTGGCATTTGGGCTCAGATCAGTCCTCAAACTATTTGCTTTTGTTCTTTATTTGATCTTATTTATGATTAAATTGTGTGTCTTTTAACATTAAATATTACCAGTTATTCTGAACTTACTGTCAGTGCTCACTGTTAAGGCTTTTGTCTTCTACCTGACATTTACTAGAGATTTAGATAACAGTCCTCAGAAACTAGATGTCTTTCCAAGATAATCTTGAAACATTCCCATTTCCTTCCCCATGGGCATGCGTGCTGTTTTGATTAGTTTATTGATATTTACTTTGTCACATAACCTCTTAAGATGTTTGATGTTACCTGTGCAGATAAGGCATTTCTCCTGGAATATATTACAGAGTGTTCTGTTAACAAACTGCATCTCTCTTTTTTTATTCTTTTTTTTTTTTTTTTTAATGTATACCAATGCATGTATGTCACTCTGGGCCAGAGCTTCACAGATTACAAAAACATACTGAAATTTTTGTGGTCATCTTTATTGAACTCTGTCTTCATTTGTGCCATCTGTGTTCTGAATCTTGACCTCACTACATTTCTTTTGATTTCTTCCCCAACACAAAATCCATTTTTTTATCTATTATTACTTAGCACTTCATTTCCTTTATATTTTGCATGCAGTCTCCTAAATACCTCCTGAAGGTAAGAGTCTCAGTTACTTTATTGAGAACTGTAATCTTTCAGCAATTATTTCAGTGTCCAGAAGAGTGTTTTTAAGTCAGTGAGTGTTAGAAATGATTGTATGGAGCAAAGTCCAGGAAGTGTAGCACAGGTGCTGACAACGGCATTATCTGGTTTATACAAATGCCACCTGGTCAGAGCAGATTTGGTAAACTGCCACAAAGTAAGTGAATGCTAAAATGCTGTTAATGCTCCATGCAAACAGGATGCTGGTTAATTTTCTTTAATTTTGTTGAGCTGTAATGTAGCAATACAGACTGCTTGTTATGGATAACCACAGTTACATTCATTCATAAATTCTGGTTTCATTTTGATAAGAACAGCTGTACTAACAATATAACTAAAATCTATAAGGAGCAGTGTGTTCACTGTCCATGTATATCCTCTAAAAATAACTCTTCTGCAATGCTGAAAAAGTGGCAATTCAGCAGGATAAGATTGCTGAGATTCTTGGCATCAAAATGGCAATATGAAGTAATTAATACTGACCATAGTAGGAGAAGGGAACAGACTTACATATTCTGAGACTACCTACTTTGTTTGCCACTCGTTATCCTACAGTATTTTTTCCATACATGAGCAAATGAGGCAGTTCAATTTACTTCCTGGCTATTACAAATATGATAACTCTTCTTGTATATACAAGTCATGCTGGAGTTCATTGTAGTGGCAATAAAAGGAATACTTTTTAGAAATCAGTTCCTAAAGTATTGCAACTTGACAGCTATTTCACTGGCTGAGTATTATACTATCCTAAATCTAGAGTGCTCTTATACTATGAAAAAAAATTCAAAATGCTTACAAACCTCTTCAAAATCAGTGTGTTCTGCATCTGTTAGAAGCTGGTCCTGCTATCTCTGATAAAGTATTCTGAAGTACTCACACCTGAAGGAATGACTATAACAAAAACTGAACCCAGCTTTCGTGGGCAAGGTGGGTGGGTCTGCAGTGTTTCTGGAGGAGTCCTCACATCAGAATTTTGTCTTCCAGGTTGACACAATGGAGGTTATGCGGCATCCTGAGGAAACAACTAACATGAAGCGGCAAACTATGGCTTCCTATTTTAGGGTACAAAAATTAAAATAAAAGCAAGCATTTTGATAATAAGACCAATAGATATATGTAAAATATTTGTGGGATAGTAAGATCAAAGAGCAATATAGAGAATTTTTTTTATTCTGTTACATGGCCTCTGTAGATTCTTAAACTTTTTTGGTTTGTTTTTTCTCTTTGTTTCCTCATACTTGTATTTTTTGTTATTTCATTGAATACATTGATAACAGAATCTAGAGCCCAGACTCTTTTCTGTCTAAAATGCTAGAGGTCTACAACAGGTCTCATTATAAACAAAACACCAATTTTCTGCAAATAAATTAGATGCTATCACTAAAGTCTCCATATTTTTTCACAAGCTGAGGCATATATACCTTCAAAGATTAAGATTTTTCATTTATGCTAATAAGTAAAAAACAATCCATCTTTTGGAAGTGCTGTTGTAAATCATACAGGTTGCCATTTTATCAGTAATTCTGTCTGAGGTAATGCACATTCTGCTCCTGTGTTTAAATCAAACAGGCAGGGAAAGGGCATTGAGAATGTTGGACCTGGAAGCTTAGGGGTCAAGAAAGTGCTAGTCCGAGACTCTTGGTTACTGTTTATTTCTTGCAGTCATTGCAAAGTGGAAAAGTTTTCAACAGTTGGCTCTTGGGCTGCACTTGTGCCACGCAGAATAGGGAAGTTCACAGAGTTGTGCTAAGCAGTGTGAGTCAAAGCTTCAAGCTGTGTAGGAATACCTGATCAATTTGTTTTGTAGAACAGTGTAAGGAAGGGTATAGAGGAAGCTCATGCATACTGAAATGTTGCCCTGGTGTGGAGAGCAAGGACACTGACTTTCAGACTTATCATACAGGTGTGCACTTAGAGTGCTCTTGCACAGAACCACAGAAATGCCAGCTCTGTAGGAACTGTAAAAAGAAAAAAAAAAAAGTAATGGGGGAGTGAGTGTGTAAGTAGACCATAATATGCATGCAACCTGCAGCAAGGTGACAACAATCAGCTTGGAACTGTATGTGATTTTGAGACACATATGAGATGGAACATAGTTGGCAACACATACTTATTGTGCAACAGCTTAATGAGGTGAGTATAGAGCAGGAGTATCAGTATTCTGAGGAGTCAATGAAAAAAAATGTATACTCTGATCAAAGGTTTTTCATTTTAGTTTAAAATGAAATGGAGTAAATTGTTTTGTGTGTCTAGGGTGGATAGGAAAAGAAGTAATGGACCTACATTTCTGAGGCAAGATTTATGTTAGATGCTAAGAACTTTATGAATAGTTGTGATAATATAGCAGTTGAACAGATTTCTAGGGAGACTGTGCAGTTTATATTCTCAGTGATTTTGAAAAATTAATGTAACAGAGATGTGCCTGAAACATTAAAGATACATCTGATGTTCTCTGTGGACAGAGCACTGAACTGATGACTTTTTGTAGCCCTTTCCTGGGTTCAAAAATTAATTTGCTGTGAATTTCAGTGATTGTTTCATGGTAAAGTTTGTATTTCTGTTGGAGGTATTTGATCAATTAAATGTGTCTACAGTAGAATTATAGTTAGGACAATTTTCTACTTTATTTTTTTAAATGGACATTCTTCAACTATGGAAATGTGATATAAGGAGAAGAGAAAGGTGTAAGAAGTAAGAGATTCAGAATATTTAAATTTTTTTTACAACTGAAAATTTTTAATAGGTTCCATGTTTCAGCTGAAATCTTAAAAATGAATAAAAGGGCAATGGAGATTAACATTACAGATTAAAATATAATCAAGTATTACAAACTGTTTACAAATATCAATCTCCTGCTTAAGTAATTCCGTTGCAGTCTTTCTTTAAGTATGTGCATCTTCTTCATTTTCCTCACTAGTATTCCCTCATGGATCTTTTGTCCAAAATGGTTGTTGGACAGCCTCACTTTATCCGCTGCATTAAACCTAACGATGACCGAGAAGCATTGATGTTTTCTCATGAGAGAGTTCTGCTGCAGCTACGATACACTGGAATTCTGGAAACTGTCAAGATACGTCAAAAAGGGTATTCTCATCGCATCCTCTTTGAAGAGTTTGTAAAAAGGTAAGACTTATATAATAGGGCTGTTTTCCTAATATTCTATTCAGTAAGATATAGTCTATGTTTAAGTACAGAAAGTTCTACAAATGTTGTTCGTAGGTGTGTGGCCTCAGTGTCTAATGAGGACAGGGACTTTCAGAGATAAAGACTACAAGAGATATCTGATCTCTAATGGAAAACAGTCAGTGTGAAACTTGCAGTGAGCGCAAGTAACAAGCCTGTCTCCATCGTTCTCTCTGTAGAGGTAACAATTGGAAATGATGCATCCTGCTCAGACAATTCAAGGATTTTGGAAGGTCAGTGACCTTCAGCCATCAGATGAAGCTGAAGGTGCACATGTTTAAAAATGAACTGATATGAAAGCTTCAGATTTAGCTTTGCAGAGTAATTTATCTTAGAGATATCATGAATGATAATCAGATCTCTGTTCACCCTAACCCTTCTCATGGCTGCTATTACTGGCTTTAATACATAATCTCAAAAAGTTATAAATTTTATTCAGGAAATGCTATTGTCTTTATGATGGCAATATAGCTTCATGATAATTATGGTTTCCTCTATATTTTAAATGTGTCTTTGTGTAGTATTTACTGGTTTTCAGTGTGCAGGACTGGCAATTCAACAATGAGCAGAAGCACTACCATTAACCATTTATTTAGGCAACAATAGGAACAAGTAGTGAATGGCTAGATCATGGTGTGATATTTTTTGAACTGGAGGTTGCTTATCCAGACGATATAGAATTAATGAATCTACTGAAAGCAAGTCATTAGTCTCACTTCAGTGCCTGATAAAGTTAGGGAGAAGATTATTCTAGGAGGTACTAAAAAACACCTGGAAGACAGCACAGTCACTGGTCACAGCCAGCACAGCTTCATGAGAGGAAAGTCTTGCTTATCATAACCTATTTCCTTTCATGACAAAGTAACCCACCTGGCTGACCCAGGGAAGCCAGCTGATGTCATCTTCTTGGACTTCAGTAAGGTTGTTGATGCTGTCTCTCACAGGATCCTTCAGGAGAAAATGTCCAGCACAGAGCTGGATAAACATATCATTGTAATGGGGAAGCAACTGGCTCACAGTTTGGGCACAAAAAGGTTCTAGTGAATGGGGTGACAGCAGACTGGTGTCCAGTCACTCATGGGGTTCCACAGGATTCCATCCTCAGCCGTGTGCTCCTCACTGTCCTTAGAAATGGCTTGGATGCAGGCTGGAAGTGATACTAAGCAACTTCACAGATGATGCAAAACTGGGAAGAGCTGCTGACTTCTTGAAGTCAGGAAGGGACTGCAGAGAGACCTTGACAAATTAGAGGGCTGGGCAACAACAACCGTATAAAGTTCAGCAAGGAAAAGTGCCAGGTTCTGCATCTGGGATTGGGCAGCTCTGGATGTGCAGACAGACTGGGGAATGAGGCGCTGGAGAGCAGTGCCACAGAGAGGGACAGGGCGGTCCTGGTCACTGGTGAGCTGGATGTGAGTCAGCAGTGCCCTGGCAGCCAGGAGGGTCAGGTGTGTCCTGAGGGCATCAGGCACAGCACCACCGGCCAGGCAGGAGAGGGATTGTCCCGCTCTGCTCTGCTCTAGGGCAGCCTCACTCTGAATATTACATGCAGTTTTGGCCACCACAATATAAGGCATTAAAACTATACAGAAGTGTTCAAAAAGCACGGCAAAGATAGTGAAGGACCTTGAAGGGGAGCTGTATGAGGAGCAGCTGATGTCACTTGGTCTTTTGTGACCTTACTAATTTTAGTAAGGTCGCACCATTCTAGAGCACATTTAACAGATTAATTTTTGTGATCATTAATAAATGTAATCAATTTGCAATATCCTGAAGCAGCTGAAAGCAGGATTATTAACCACAACTTTTATTCAATTTGCATGTACATGAACTAAGATTAACTCCACAGGAATTAGTGTAAATTGAGAGGAAATTGAGTCTTCTCTTACCAGGAGATCTTTTTCATTCAGAAATGCGCTGAATTTGAGTACAACCTTGAAAGCTAATGGTAATAAAATTGGCATTGACTGTAGCTTTCCATTCCTGCAGATAAGGGCAAGTTGTGGTTAATACCTTGTCAATTACTCTCCAAGTTTTTAGTCCAACTTGATGTAATTTGTTAAGGAAAGAAAGTCAAGACAAAAAGGGAAAGAGAGGGGAGTAGATTTAGCAATTTCTACAACAGCAAAGACAGCTTTTGAGTTCAGAATATAAGTGAGGGCGGGAAAGGAGATGTTCTTGTTCCTTTGTTCAGCTCATGCTTTATTTTAAAACAAATTCTGTTCTCTTTTGCTCATGTAAATAAAATCAATCAATACTTTATAAAGCTATCAGTGGAACAAGAAACATTTTTCTTCAACTTACAGCTATAACTAGTCAAGTGTTTTTAGGAGCTAAATAGTTGAATACATAAAAATGTTTGAGAAAACAGGTCAAATGCTAAACAGATTGGCACTTCTTTGTTCATAATCAAAAAGACATTAGGCAAGTATGAAGAAGAGTTTCAAAATGTCAGTAAATGTAAGGATATCAAAGATTTTTTTAAGCCAGCAAGTTAATTGGTATTTTGATCCCTTTGAGCAACTGAACAACAAAATGGATGAGCCAGCATTTTTTCTCCCTTGATGTTATTAAACAAATAGGTGTGCTTATCTGCCTATTCAATAATGCTGTTTTGTAAACTCTTAGCTGGAAATATGAGGACAAAACAATCAAAGGCAGGGAACAGACCCATTCAGAGTTTATCAGGTGGGAGGTAAACAAAAGATAAAGCTCTGTCTAATGTTACTCTTTAAATGTCTTCTGTTTTCATGTAGAGCAGATTATTTGCAAACCTGGATATAGTTTATTGGGTTAAAAAACAGATGGTGGGGAGAGGGCTTAATTGGGAAACTCATTCACACAATGTTTCTTCAGCCAAGTATATTTCCATCTGTTTTATGTATATAAATATACATATTCTTTTACTTAAAGTAGGAAAAACATAATCTGCAGTCCCTGTAAACACTGTATCCCTGTCAAGTCTTAGACACTTTGTCTCCCTTGGCCCTGTCTTGCACCCCATGACATCATGCATCTGTCTTATGTTTGCTGTGAAGCGACATGGCCCGTCTTTCAGGCTGGAATCTCAGATTATAGGTAGGAGTTATTAAGGTGATCAGTCAGCCAGGTGTGCCTGAAATGTGGGGTCATGTGGTGACCATGTACTGCATAGCAGTTTAAAGGAGCTGTGCTTTCTCATGGGGACCTGCATGGAAGGTCCCACTGGAAGGCACACTCCTTGCTCAGTGCCCCTGGAGCTTCACGTGACATGATGTGGTGTGCAGGTGTGTCCTCACCACATATCCCCCAGCTGGATCCTCCTTTTATGTTGCATATACTGTGCAGTGGTTGAAAGGTGAGGGACTCACTAGGCCCATGGTACTAAATGCTGTCATTCTTGTATTGCTTCCTCAGCTCATAGGAGTGTGTTGAGAACTTTTGCACTAGTTTAATTTAAGGATTGTCTTTTTTCTTTCCTGCCTGTTTATGTTAACATTACAGTTTTTGTACTGCATTAAGTTGCAGGATAAACTTTTACTGTAACCATTACCTATTCTACAGTAGTCAGATGATGTTACTCTGATCATACAATCATGGCAATAGCAGTGCTATTACTGTAACAGTGAACCAGTGAGGCTGGTTCTGCTTTTTCAATCTCACAGGACAAATTTGCATAAGGTCACTGTTAGTACACATGGTATGCACCGTTTCTAAACCCTCAGTGTTATGTTTCTCATGACCACATAAAGTCTCATTGGCCTTAATAGGTCACATTTTGCATGGAGTGGAGCTAAGTATTAAAACTGGTCAAACATTACAAAACCCTATAAAACATATAACCTCAGTAAGTGCTTTCTTCTAACACCAAAAATTTGGTGGATACACTTGCTTATTATGCAAGATCAGAGAAGCACTGAATTAAATTAAAAGCCAACAGACTTGCTACAGATAAAAAATTCTTTCTTTTTAAATGATGCATTTTTAATGCAAGCCTACTTTTAACAGTAAACCTGCCCTATATCAAAGTTCGTAAGTGATTTCTGTAAACAAAATTTTAACATTGCCTGATACCTTGATTTTACTATTATCTATGGAAGTGTTTATTTTTTTCAGTGGCTTTGAGATTTCACCAAATCTATAATATGTTCCCATGCACTTTAAATATGGTGAACTACTGTACCTTCCATATACACTTTCTAGATGTTTCCCATTCACAAAACACTGGTAAGTGGTTGCAGGATGGAGATGATAGGAAAATATTAGGAATGGAAAGTCTGCTATCTGCTTATGAATAGTATATGCACATTGCACCAAATTAGGCTTTTCTGAGAGTATTTCTGATTCTGTATTTGTCAGATGATTTACAGCATAAGTGCTAGGTATTTGTTACTGAATTTCAAGAGTATCTTAGAAGTTGTATAATTTTTTATTTATAAAAATGATAGAGTATCTTAGATGTTGTATTGGATTTTTTTATTTATACTTTTAATATGGAGTCAAATGTAATTATTTTTGTGAATTCAGATCTGAAAGTTTCTGAAAGAGGTAAGATACAACCAATACAAGTTAGAAATTTTTGGAAGTAATTTTACAGCTCTTGTAGTTCTAAAAAAAAAAGCCTTATTTTTTAAAAAGTTTCTGGTTCCAGGGCTTAGAAGGAACAGATAATTTTGTGATTCTGAGAATCTTCCTACTGTTGCTTGTGGTCTGGCTAGAAAGAGATTTTGTACCTCATGCTTTTCACATATCGTTATTCATTATCCACCTCAGGCCATTACATTTTAGTACAAAGATTTGTTCTAAGGAGAAAAAGGGTTAATCATTACTGTTTTGAGTTAGTTGTGTAGAATTGATGCAGCCTTTAAGTCTGAAATGTGAAGGGAACTTCAGTAAGAGACACTGGTATAGTAGTTAGTGGTGCTGTTTAAATGCATTTTATGGAACAGTTCCACAGTTTAGCCTTTAGGGAGGGGTGGGAAATTGAACCATTTGTTTACAGTCAGTTTATTTAGTCTGAAATCACCAACACTAAAATGCCTTGTCCCTGAACAGATAGTTAATGCATAGAAGTTTTCCATATCTTAGCATACTTGGGTGTCTTTAGCATTTAACCTTGCTTCTGCACATCCTAGCTTTGCATTCTAAGGTTAAATTCAACTCTTAAAAAATGTTGGTTTATTTCTAATTACTAGCAAGTACAGTTAATCCCATTTTAATATAAGTTTTTTCTGAAATAATATTCACATCCATGAAGAATACTATGTATTTCAGAGTAAAAACCACTAGCTAAGAAATGTAGAATTCCAGAGTTTCATCAGGTTTGAGAAATCAGTTCTTCTGAGGGGAAATTACTTTCCTTGTACTTAGTCTTACTGCTAGTGAGAATGTGATTAGTCAAGTACTTTTAGGAAACATGTAGATGACTGTGTGCCAGGTGTAGGAAATTTTCAAGCAGGATGTGTAACTCAGGAGAAGGATATGTTTTTGCACAAATATGTGCATGTTTATGAAATAGCACATGAAGCATCAGAAACATATGTTTTTAAAATAATAATAAAAGTATTAGTTTAATGTTGAACACTGAAATATTCCTGGCTACCATATTTCCTGCTGAAATAACAAGTGCAAATATGGAAATAAAAAGGTAGAGTTGTGAAATTTTCATCTCATCTGAAAGCAAATGTAATTTCTAGTCCTACTTTTCAGAAAATAAGTTTCTGGTTTCTTGGTGATAGTTGCAAGTAGAGGTCACTCTGTGATCTCTGCACAGTAGATTTACATAAGTATGACAGAGTTTAAATTAGACCAGTAAATCAAAATGAACAATTGTATATACCCCAAAGCTTTTTTTTTCAGGCATATTCTCTGCCATTTTACCATGTGCAATATTTGCATGCTTTTGCCAGATACATAAGGGTGAAACATTTTACCTTCCTCCAAAATTTTCCATAGGGTCCATTGCTGTACAAAGATTTTTAATTAGATAAAACAACTGGATGACCCTGTGTGGCACATGCTGTGCTGCTATACAATTACCCTGAGCACATAATGTCAGACTACTTGAGTGTCTGTAGTTATGTGATTCTGTCATGAAAACAGGCACTAAACCAAAATGTTTACTTAAAAATACCCACAAAACACATGGATTTGACCTTTGGAACACAAATCGAGACACCTAATGTGGTGCAGAATGCACACTACAAAAGGAGTTCTGGAGAAATAATTAAAAATAAATAGCCAGTCTCATATTGATAGTCCTTATTTCTGATGAGTACAGTCATTTCTGCCTTACTTTCCATGGGGGAATGGCCTGACGTTGTGCCAGGGGAGGCTTAGGTTGGATATCAGGAAAAGGTTCTTCAGCCAGAGGGTGTCTGCGCACTGGAATAGGCTCCCCATGGAAATGGTCACAGCACCAAACCAGACAGAGTTCAAGAAGCATTTGCCAATGCTTTTGGGCACATGGTGTGACTCTTGGGGATGTCCTGTGCAAGGCCAAGAGTTGGACTTCATGATCCTTATGGGTGCCTTCCAACTCAGAATATTCTGTGATTCTATGACATAATTGGAAAGCAAGAGTAAGTATATTTAACCAGGTACAGGTGCAGTGGTAAGATCAATCAAAATGTTTGGAAAATCACCTTTTAGAGGAAGTTTTTAGTAAATATTTGGAGACAGTATGTTTACATACAGAAACTGTAGTTATTCCCATGTAGTTACTCCCATGGTTTGTAAAGTTCTTGTCAGTCTGAATAGTTTGCTTTCTTAGACTATAGATACGTTTAAATTTATAAAAACATTTGTTAAAATAGGATTTGATAAGAAAAACAACCATTGTTTTAATTATGTTTTTTTGGAGCACCAAAGCAACTGCATTCTAGATCGTGAAAGAGAGCTATTGGAAAGGGTACTATCTTTGACAGATAATGAAGTTTGTCATGAACAAAATGGTGTAGCCAGGAAGATATTTACTCAGATATTTGTCACAAATAAGTCAACTTTTCAGTAAGTGAATGCCAATGATAAGATTAAAGAATTATGAGATTTCCCTTGAATATTTTATTGCATCAGTGCCATCCAAAAACTGTTCAGTGGTTTTAAAATTCCCATCAGTAACATACCTTAAAAGATACTTGAACAAACAGCATCACTCCCTGCCTTCCTGCCTGCCTTCCCTCCCTCCCTCATGTGTAAGTCACATGGCTATCTGAACTGGCTTTTGAAGTAAACAGCAATTTACTATGAGTGTAATTTCTCCATGTATCTGTCGCTGTCTCTTGAAATTGTATGATGTCAAAAATATTTGTGATACATTTTAAATCTGAGTTTTGTTACTGCAGTTTTGTTACTGCAACTCAGTACCATTTGTTTTGTAAAAACTGGCATCATTAACTTCAGTAATGAGGTGGAGGAAATGTGCTTTTTTATTTTGAGTACACCATGTTTCTCTAAACCTCCTAATAGGCGTGAGTTGATATTTTGAAAGACTTGGCTAAAGAATTTGCAATGTCACATTGTTGAGAAAGTCACTACATTAAAAATAACTCAGTAATACATAATATCCTATCATTATTCAGAGTTAGCAATGTCTCCAGTTGGTGAATATCTGTGTCTCTGGTCCAGAACTTATTCCAGTACTCACTTCAGATGTCATTTTGTTCCTGTTTGATCTTAACTGACTGTTTTAGTGGTTTTTTTCTTTCTTGTGACAACTGGAGCTAATATATAGAGATTAACTGGAACTAATAATTGAAAATCATACTCTTCTGACTTAAAAAGAAAAAAGTATTGCAGAATTCTAAATTTTCTAATTGCTTCTCCATATTTTCTTCAGTATAAAGTGGGATATTTTCTTGACTCTGTGTGGCTACAGAGGAATCTGTCTTTGAGATTCACTGATGACATTCTTCTCTTAATGTTTTAAAGAACATCTGATCACTCTTCCCCATGCTAATAATTAGTAGAATGGTTTGCTCAACCTGCCACCTCCTCTCATCCCAATGTAAATAAAGTAGAACCTTTAGAAGTATAACTTAATACCAAGACAACACATGGCAGTTAATAAGTTAGAGCTGAGGTGGCAGTTGATAGCATCCAAATGTACTTGTGCTGAAATAACCTTAAATTTGTAAACTAACCGGCACATGTTCTAGCTGTTACTTAACGTAATTGTTTGCAAGTAGGTTTACTTAAATACTATAAAACCAGTCTTCATAAATGCATAATGGCTTTTTATAGGTAGGAAGGAACTGGTTCTTAATTCAGTTCAAACATGTCTGTATCCCTTTTTCATTAACTATAGGTTATTTAATATAATTGTTAGGAGCTGTTCTTTGCAAGGGAACATGGACAAAAAAAAAAAAAAGACAATATTGTTTTGTATGGGTCTGCTCCAGACTCCTAAAATTGATCATAATCATTCCAATTAATTGTTTATCGTAATAATTTATATGTTCAAGTATCTATTCATGACACCTGTGTCATGATTTATGAAGACACAGCTGTCATGAAGTATGTATAAGGAAGAATTTGGCCTATTCATTCTAGAGATAAAGTTAGGAGCTAGATAAAAGCAGTGGAAGTACATATTGATTGTCAATTCAATTCTCTCTTTGCCATTTTGCAGGTATTACTACCTTGCATTCAAGGCACATGAGACTCCCCTTGGTAGCAGAGAAAACTGTCTTGCCATTTTGGAGAAATCTAAACTAGACAACTGGATTCTTGGGAAAACCAAGGTTTGTATAGGGTGCTAACATTTTCACAAGGATAATATACTTTTATAAATCATGTCTAATAGTGGTTCAAAAAGTATTGCATGAATGAACAAAAGAGCAAATAATTTGCTCCAGTTAGCTTCCCTGGTTATGGAAGTGCCCTCCCAGCTGAGACAGTGCTGCAAGAGGGGTGCTTTGGGTACCTCCCCAAAGTGCATTCAGCACATGGCTACCTTGATAAGGACAGTACCTGTGTCAGTGCCTGCTGTTGTAGTGACTTTCTGAAGTTTCCCATTTTCTTAATAATGACATGGCTGAAATTTCACAATTTGACCCATCATATGAGCCTGGCTAGTACCATTACCCATTCATGGAGTTTCAGGTAAGCTCCTTCTCTCTCTGTCAAAAGCCTTTGTTGATGGTTTAAAATGGAGTGATTGACTTCTTTTAAAAGGATGTTACACAGTACTTTGAGATGTTTTACATTACACAAAGGAAAAACTGTGAAAATTTTCTCTCCAAGATCCAGATAAAATGTACGTAAGCACCCATATGATTTGTCTCCTTAGGGAGAATGCTTTTAGACAAATTATGTCTAAAACCAAATTCAATCCAGGATTTGTGTTTCCACTGGGAAAAAAGGTCATCTTTCAAAATTGTTCATACCTGAAAAGATCTCACTGTCCAATTTACTTTGTAAAGGCGGTAAACGTGTGATTTATTTCCACAGGATCACAGAATATTCTGAGTTGGAAGGGACCCACAAGAATTACCAAGTGCAGCTCCTACGTGAATGGCCCATAGAGGAATTGAACCCCAGCCTTGGTGTTGTTAGCCCCATGCTCCAAGCAACTAAGTTAATCTCTTTTGCAATGGGGTGATTATAATCAGTGGAATAAAGAAGTTCCACAAGTACACAAGAGCAAATAATGGATTCACAAGATTGCTATGATATGTGATCAGTATTTTTCTAGTTTTCTCAGCAATTACACCCTTGAATAGGCTGCTGGAGGACTAATGAGAAGGCAAAATACAGGAGGCTATAATACTGATTGTAATACTGATTTATTTGTTTTGCTGTTATTCCATTACAGGTTTTCCTTAAGTATTACCATATAGAGCAGTTAAATTTGCTCCTTCGAGAAGTTATAGGGAGGGTGGTGGTCATGCAAGCCTATATCAAGGGATGGCTCGGAGCAAGGAGGTACAAGAAAGTAAAAGATAAAAGAGAAAATAGTGCTGTTACAATACAATCAGGTAAATGTTCATATTCCCTGTTTTACTAAGTGTCTTTGTATCTCAGTCACTTAAATTGCATGTACGTTGTTAATTTATTAATTACAGTTTATTATGAAATCTGAATGACTGGGTGTGTTTTCTCTCCAGCTCATTGATGCAGATATTACTGATTTACTTCTAAAGTATCATCTTAACATTTAGGATTGTCTTTATTTAAGTATTTTAATATTTTGAGTGTGATGCCTGTGCACAAAATAAAAATATTGTTAGGTACGTCTATAATAACATGCAGTGCATAATTGAAGTGCAGTAGCACACATCCCTGCCCGTGTACCAGAATTGCAGACATACATCAAAAGATGAGCCTGAGAGTCTGATTATCAGTAATTTAGCAGGTTTCCGTGTAGTGATTTGGGGAACCATGTGAGCAAGAATGATGACACACCCTTTTTTTGAGTCAGGATATCAGTGAGCACATGGTGGCAATTAAAATTTGAATGAGGGAAGTGGTGTTTGAAGTTGTGAGGATGTGAATACTGCAGTCATGAACCCAGAGTTCAACATGTGGGAGAGTGGGGAAGAGCTATTGGGGGTGGGGGCTGAAGTAGTTATGGCAGGAGAAATGAAAGTTTCAGCACATCTCTGACCCTGTAGACTCTGTAGCAATTCCTTAAATAAATGTAATTTCCAGCACATGGTTTTGTATTTTTAGCCTGGAGAGGATATGAAGCTCGCAGGAAGTACAAGGAAATAAGGAACAGAAGAACTGATGCTGCTATACATATTCAGGCAGGTAATTAAAACAGTATTTCAGTTGCCAACACCTATTTTTCTGTGGGTGATTTTGCGTGTGCCAATGTTTATAGCCAAAGAAAAAAAAAGTCCAAACAAAAGCTATCAAAAACATTACTTATGATTATTTTGCTTCAGAGTTAAATGATGTCAGTGACGGGTATCATGCACTTTAGACCTTTTATAAGTACTTCTCTGAAAGCAAAATATAGTAATTAAAAGCTGTTAAGTTAATTCTTGGCTAAAAGTGTGGATGGAAGACACAAGACATGCATTTCTCTGTCTTTGTTTGGAGCACTGATCTCGGCAAGTTGCCAGGTTTTTGTTTTGACTGCTTGCTGGGTTTGCCAGCTTTGACCAATCTTTTGACAATCTGCCAGACTCCTATGCAGCCATATCAATATGAATTTGAATAAACTTTAAAGAGATTATTGGAGGAACAGGCCCATAGGGCTGTGTAGGTCTCTAGTAGAGAGCAGAGTACCATATGGCATAGAAATCTAAGAACCAGCACTGTGAATGCTGTGAACTCAATGGTGTTTTCAGATGCTGCCAATATGAAGCAGCCTCCATATGATGCAGTGCAGTACACCTTCTCTGTCCAGCTCCAGGTTCAAAGACTGTGACTGATAAAAAAAAATCATTGTAGCTAATGTGTTTACAGATAAACCAAGATATCACTTCTAGCAGCTTCCTGTACTACAATTCCTTAAGCTTTGTCACCTCTTGTTCTGTATCTTACAGTGTGAAATCTATATGAAAAATATTTGTTGTAATATTTTTTTACTTGTTCTCAAACCATTCCCAGTAAATTCGTTCATTTTTGTGTTGCCTAGTTTACTACTCTGAAATTAAGCGTTGCTGTGACTTTCAGGAGAAAACAGAATGCCATTCTAGTTACCAAAAGGAACAGAGTATCATTAGGATCAAATAATAATTTGTAGCTTTGCATATGTACTGTTATGAAAAGTCATGAAGCTCCAGGGTTAAATGCTATATATTCTATTAAATTGAAGAAATTTTTTCTTGCATTAGCAACAAGCACTGAATGGTTGCACAAGTACTCTCTCTCATTCTTCCTCTCCTTTGTGTTGTCATTTTCAGTTGTTTTCATGATAGCACAGAGAGTAGATCTTAAAGTACCCCTCTGCCACTATTTCCTGGAGTATTTGCTACCTTTACAAACACATGCATACCTGGACTTTTATTACAACAGCCTTTTGTTGAAGAAAGTGAAACTGTTAACCCATGACTGTCTCACTGTTACCAGCTCCTTAAGATGAGAGTTACCTCAGGTGCAGTAGGAAGCTTGTGTGTAGCATTATCACTTGGAGACTGCAGGGGACATTCTGCCTTAGAGTTTTATCCAGACAGATTTTTATCTCTTTAGAGAAAAATACTGATGTACTGTTAGCACACATGGGAGAGATTCAGAGCTCTTTTGCTTCCTGCCATCTTTTAAATACTGTGTTAAACGTGGCAGAGCAGAGACAGTGGGAGTGAATTGGGACACTGTTAGTCCTCTGGACCTAATGTTGGAGGAATGTTGTTAGTGCTTTTCCCTCCAACACACACAGTGTTTTCCTTTGTAACCTGGCACTTGACTGTTTCAGTGATCAGCCTGGGTGAATAAACATTAGGGACTACAGGGTTAAGAGTGACACAGTGAACCTTTGTATTAATTAGGCTGGCTGCTCATCTTGTCTTTGGTACTCTAGTAGAATGGGAATAATGATAGCAATAACAATAATAACAATAATAATAGTAATCCTCAATGCTTTTCTGTCTGCCTTTGGAAACCTATATTTAGGACTTCTTATTTGAAAATATTTCTTGTGCAGGTTTTCTCTTCTCGATATGCTAATTATTCAGTGTTTGAAATCAAAGCTTATGCTTGCTAATCATGGCCATTTTCCAGGTTTTACAATCACTGACAGTTTTTATGTTGTTTACATAACATTACACAGTCCAAGTGCCTAGTGACATGGAGACAAAAGGTACTCTAAATCTCTCCCTTCTCTGCACATCTTACAGTGTGAGGGTAGTTCAAGGCAGCTTCCTAGTAAAACGGAGTACAGTCACCTTTGTGTTTTTTAAAAAGAGCCATTTCAGGCAGTGAGATAAATTGTTTGCATTTGTCATCCACCATTAGCAAAACCATATAATTAAACTATATGTACTTCCCTCTCCTTTCCCTCCCCCCTGCCCCACTCAGGCAGGCCTTGGAATTTAGGAAGCATTTGGCTTACATGTTTCTACAGAACAGCGCATATTGAAATTTGTTTTCCTTTCATCTCTTTCCCAATAAAAGCAGCCGCTCAGCTTATCCCTTTAGCTTCCTCAGAACTTCCTTTCAGAATTCCCGATCTATTACAGCACATTCACATACCAGAAACAAGATGCCTTTTCATGCTGTCAACCTTTTTCATCTGAAATGTAAATTAATTCTTGCTGGTACGCTTTGACAGAGATCAAAGTAGGGGTATTAACCTTATTGGGCCTTCTCCTCATCAGAATCGGTTCCAAGGACTGCAAGGGTAGTGTTAGGAGGCCAGTCTTCACTGTTATCTATGGCCCTCCTCCAGGCAGTCCTCTGTCTACAAGTCAGCATTTCAAAGGCGCTGATTTCTTTTGTAAATGACCTTATCATTACTTTAAACTGTGTGAAAAATGATTTGCCTGAATAATTCTTGCAGGATTATCCTGCTCGTTTTAATTGTGGGGGGACTTCATTCAGGTTCCAGGATATTGTTTAAGTGGTTTTGACAGCAAGTGATCATAGCCTGATAAAAAGGAGGAACACAGCTCCTGATTGGAAACCTCTTGACTTGTTCAGATTGTTCATTTCTTGCGAGTCAGTCTTTGAGGTAGGCTGCATTTGCATTTTAAAAATAAACAGATGCCTTTCAAATACATGAGCTGGTGGTCTGAGATCTCTGTGGGCCCAACAGTTCACTATCCATTGAAGAAATGTTGGAAGAAAAAACAAACTTAGAAAAAAAAAACAACCCTCACAATATACATGAAGATAAAATTCCTGAGTGTATTATATTACAAGAAAAAAAGTCATTATTTCAGATGGGGGGAAGCCCTCACTAGGAAACAAAATATTAGTGAATTTAAATTTAATGTGGAAGAAAAAGCTACCCTACTTCAGCATATGTACATTTCAGGTTCTCAGAATATACAGATGTTATTAGACTCATGGCTAAAATGGTACACAAGATAAACAAAATCTTTCGTCGTACTTTCAGTCACACTTTCTCAAACTGTGACGGTTAGAAAATGCTACTTTTTAACTCAGAAACAAATTGTAAAGAATGATTTTGTGTTAAGTGTTTGAGTTGACAATACTTTGCACTTCTGAGTATTTCTTTGTAATTGGAATTTATAGTGTTTCAATTCACATCTACATGAGAGAGAAAAATATATTGTCAAAGATTCTTAAAAATTATTTTCCAGATTCACAGCTGGTTTAAATCAGTGTATATCCACTGAATCATCTGACTGAAATGTTGCTTCATTGATTTACCTCACATGCAAGTCTCATTAAATGTTTATTTTAGAATAATTAGAATTTAGAATTAATTAGAATTTAAAGCAACAGATAATACAATTATGAAAATATGTTTTCTAGTTATGATAGCATGTATTTCCATGCAATGTGACTTGTCCCAAAAGACTTAAGGGAGGATTTTAATCTGGTTATTTTATTTGTGAACTGACATTGCCAAAATGCCAAATGAGTGGTGCATGCAATTCATTTAGATCTGAGGTGACATCACTGAATTCATTTTAATTAGGTCACTTTAGCCATCTGGAATATACTGTGCAGCTCTGGTCAAGACTGAGTTTAACTATGCTTCCAGAGGTGAAAGGCAAATGACTAATCCGCTGAGCCACCATCTCCTCCTCCAACACGTGCTCGCACACTCACCATATGTCATACTGTATTAGAAAATTCTTTATCAACAACTCTAGATTTGGGCTCTTTTCCGTAAATAAGAAGTGATGGATGTTCAGAAGGAAGCATCCCCTTGTAGATTGCTTTCTTTCTATAACTTCTGCTGATGCAGTGTTGCTTACTTATCTCTAACATGAACTTCTGGCAAAATTTTTTTAATAAAAAAGAGGGACAGAGAATAGCTGTGATTTACTGGTTTACATTTATAATAAATGTAAGATTTTAATAAAAGCATTGCCTTTGGGACTTTCAGCAGTAAAAATATAATGTTAGTTTCAGTAAAGACAAGGAAGTATTTTTTGCATATTTATTCATCTATTTGTATTACTATGTGTGTGTGTGTGTACATGCACTCAGTTAATACCATTGTATAGGTCTAAGAATTACACAAGTAAAATGTTCCAAAAACTTCTAAGCACTTGATAAATATATCTAAAACTGTTTTCTTTAAATTTTCTTGAAAATTACTCCTGAATAGCAGATCCATTTTCCTGTTTTTTTTTTTTTTTTTTTTTTATCAGTAGTTTTCCTTCTTTTAACTACATTGTCAGTGTAATAAACATTGAAGACATGTCTCTCCTAATGGCAGCTGAACTGATGTATCATATTATCTTAATTTCAGTCAGGGTGAACCAGACTAATTTTTACAGGCTGCACAGCTATGGTTAACTTTACTCTCCCATCTCATTGTGTCCTGTACTAGCTTATGGCATCCAGTAATTCTTCATGTTTAGTATGTCTCTAGTAACCATTAAAGGCCTAATGCTCATATGCAGGGAGCATATTAGAAAAGTGAGAAGGCCATATAGTTTTAAACTCTGGGGCTTTATATTCCATCCTCATTTCTGAGCTAAGCTCTGTCAATGCTCAAATGTCTGATTTTTCTTCTGATTTTGAGGAGAAAAAATGGAGACTATTCTTACTGGATTTCATGCTAAAATCAGGAAGGGACAATGTACAATAAAATCTCTTCCTTGCTGATATTGCCAGAATTTCATAGTCATCTTCGCTTTTTTATTTGACCAAGTCTCAAGATCAGAGACCGTGATACATGGTGGTTACAGCACCAAGCCTGAAACAGTTCAACAAGCATTTGGACAGTGCTCTCAGGCACATGGTATGACTCTTGAGGATGATCCTGTGCTGAGTCAGGAGTTGAACTTGGTGATCCTTGTTGGTCCCTTCCAACTCAGCACATTCTGTGATTCTGTGAATTCCATGTCCAAGTGTTGATGTGCATCAGTGACACCAGACCTGATGACAGCCTTAGTGAGTCTTGATAATAGTCACTGTTTGTTACTGATAGTTACTGCTTGTACATGACAATTCATATTCCTTCTCATAATACTTCTGCTGGAGAACTTAGAATTTTTTTTCTGCTATTAAACATACATCACCCAATATCCATCTAGAAGGTGAAAGAGGGGAAGTATTCATGGCACCCAACAAAGGATGTGACTCTATGTCTTCTACTGCTCATTAGAATTAATTTGGCATGGAATGAATAATCAGATTCGTGGGCTCTAATTTCTCTCAGATGCTATTAGTTAAGTTGCTGAATGCCCTTTTAACTAGACAAATTAAGGAAGTGATGTGCTGTTCCTAGGAAATCAACTGCCTTCTCTTTAGCAAGCATGAGCTTTCACTTCTGAGTTGCTGTTATATGCTGTTTTAGGTGATGTTACAGAACAAAAATGTGTATGTGTAGAAAAAGTCTGTTTCACATGATTTTTTAATGACTGAGAATTAATCCTTCTACTGTTTTAAAACTACTTCATCTCCTTTCTTTATAGTTCTCTCATAGACCTGTGATTGTTTGGCTTTGATCTTTTTACACCGTGCTTCACAATTTGCTCTGTAATTCTGTATTTCCTGTGGGACTCAGAAGGCAAATGCCTGGACTTTTCCTATCTGGAATTGGGCAATATTGTGTGTAGTGTATATTGCCTTTGTATTTAGACCTTAAAAGTTTGTAACTGCAAGATGCCACACCTCAGACTCCCTGAGGTAAATAGATTCTTGGTTTGCTAGGTGCTGAAACTGACAGAAAACTCTCTTTGTGTGAGAAATGATCAGTACAAGAAGTAAAAATTTGTGTCCTAATTTGTGGCACATAAAGCATTTAACACCAAGTTACTAATAGAAGTGTTAAAATTAAGTTCAGTTCCTATGTTGCTTGTCAGATCCTGTCATCTTTGGCTATGTAAAGATCAGGGTTAAAGCTACTGTTGCTGGAAAGTTTGGAATATAGACTGAATAAGGTGAAAATGAGGTGACAGCTGGTAATCATTCTTCTTCAATGATGCAGTGATTGTTCATGGAGCAGTAGCAACATGAGTCTGCTAATTTCACACTCTTTGAGCCAAGTGCTTAGTGTCAAAACCAGCACCAGTCAGTAATGCAAATTGCTGTGATGGAGCAGCTTCCCAGCCTCTTAGACTCCCCCAGTAGAATTCTCTGCATATGTATTTCTTTTGAAGCATTATAGAGCCTGTTAATAAATGTTGAAAAGATGCAGTCCTACTAGCGCTTGATGAAGCTTTTGAGAGATTTAAAGAAGTTTGTTTGCCCTGTACTTCAGTTGTTCCAGGAGTCAAAAGCAGGAAAAATACAGCTATTTACCTTTCAGATTCAAGGTAATTTGAAAGAAAGTTAGAAACCATCTTGTGGGAAGAGGAGTTGATTTTGAAAATACCTATGAAAACAGAAGATAGGGCAAAAAGCAGATTTTTACATAGTGGATGGGGCAAAGACCAAAATGGTTATACTGACATTAGTGAGAATCCCTAATAAAAAGAAAAACAATATTTAAATATAAAATCGCAGCAAGTATCAGGGTTGATTTTATAGACACACATGCAAAGAAGTACTAAAAGCTGAGAAACTACAAAGGATAAAACTGAAGTTTATCTTATCAGTTCATTTGTTTCAGTGCTTCTTTCTAGTTCATCGACTGATGAACTGCAGAGAGGTGACTGCTGGCCAGCTGTCTCTGCTGCTGATAGCAGAGTAGGATTCTTGTCTGGTCAGTAGGGGATAGTTAAGGATTGGAAGCCTGATCACATGGGACAAGTGAGAGCTTGCCTCATCTCTGTCATACAGGCAGACTTTCCTAGTCTGATTATCAAGGGTGGAAAGTTCCTCAAGCCTTAGGATACCTGAGCTGTATATTTGGTTCAACACCTCAGCAGGCTGAACTTCTGTCATGCCTTCTGTAGAGGTTCTGAATGGTTGTTTATTTTCATAACCTCTCATTAAAAGGCAGTTTTTGTTGCTTCTTATCCCAGAAAACTCAGTGCTTTCATAAAAATCAGAAGTGTGAGATACAGAGAAATCTTGTTAATCTTCTGATCAATTTCTCCATTCCTCAATTTATTCAGTATTTGTTCTATCTCCTGATTTCCTTCAGTAGTCTACAGTGTTGATCCTGATCCTACATGAGGTTGCTTTTGACCTTATTTCTGTGCCTATCTATGCCTATAATATGGAGCTCTGGACCCCAATGGGAGGGTTGCTCTTCTCCTTTGGGTATTTAATCTTCAGAATATTTTATGCACACTAAATGCATACAAACTCTGGTTTGTATGCATTTAGTGTGCATAAAAGCCTTTTCTGGACAGGAAACATTTTTTAAAAAATTATATCTCCTCAGCTTAGTTCCACTCTTCTTTTACATACTGTCTCTCTGTTAAAACTGCAGTCCTGCTGGACTAAGCTGGACACAGCTCCTTTCTCTCACAACGCTCAGCCTTATTCAGCAACTGCTTGTTGTAAACTGAAACAATGGCACTGATACTGTAGTTACTTTTTCATTATTCAGTCCTTTCTCCCTTTAGGTATTTCTGCTTAAAATAATGCTTGAAATAAACCCTACAAAATCAAATTTTGAATTTTTGTGAGTTTAAGTGTATATTGCAGTCTTTTTAGTCCGTTCTCCTAAGTGCAGTATGCATCACTATCTTTGGTTTGTGCTGGAGCTTTATTACTACTCACAGATGTAAAAAATTCAAGATAAAACTATAGAAATAATTATGGTATTTAGGTACCCAAACCCAGAGAGAGTTTATGGAAATAAAGAATGTAGATATCCTCAAAATGTTATTAATTGTAATTTTATTTACCATATCATTCCACTATGATTATTTTTTTCTGCTTTCTTTTTTTTTGTTTTTTAATTTAAAAATGGTATGAATTCTAATGTCTATTAATTTTTCCCTGTTTTTATGAGAGGTATTTTAAATGTTTTATGATGGTTACAGTTAATATAGTTGTCCCTGGCTCCGCACCCCATTGTCCCACAATAAAAGAAAGTAAAGCTTCTGATTCTGTAAAATTATGACTAGCCCAAAGGGAAGTTTTGATTAAAGAAGTTGTTTTGGGAGTGATTTTATTTTAATACATTCTGAGTTGGATTCATGTTTAAATTAGATGCATTTTCTTTTTGAGGCCTGTTTTCCTTGCCTGAACTGTGCCAACAAGTGGTCAACAGTGAGACTATAAGGCCCCGTACAATTTCAGGGCGTTGGTAACATAGCAAACATTGGAGTCATTCCTGTGGGGTCCTAAGTGTTCTTGTACACTAATTCTGTAAAATCTGGGGACATTCAGGTCTATGCTGCAGAGCCAGTTTCAGTTTCTGCAGAATCTTTCTGATTCAAAACTATGGTTTTTAGCTTTTAGGGGTTATATTGTTCGTAAAAACTACGCAAGATTGAAAACCAGCATGGAGCGTGTAGCAGATCCTCAGCTTACAAGCAGCTGCTCTACTTCTGATTTTGGCTGTGAAGAAGGCTGGTAAGTTGAATCCTTTGCTATCTATTCTTTAACAAATGCGATTTCCCACACAAGATCTGAAAGGAGCAGATTTGTCATCATGATTCAGCCAGCTCTTATAAATCTGCCATATTCTGAAGATGACCACCTGTAGGTTAACAAGTTCTCCCTCCAGCTTTTGTCATCTCAGTGATCTCCCAGTTAGTGGAAATGTGCTGTTTGCTCTGGATTGCTCTCCTGGTTTTGTGCACTTCTTGTAAGTACCCAGAATACTGCAGATTGCAGACAGAATTTCAAGTGCTCAGCATTTCAGCATTTGCTGCAGTGCATGTTATTAGACGTCCAAGAGTGGGAAGTTACCCTTCTGTGCCTAAAAAGCCTCATGCAGACCAGCAATGAGACAGGGAAAAGAGCTGTCAAGAGCAGATGGACACTTTCTGTCACTGACAGAAAGCCTAGGGATGCTGTAAACCATGGTGGTACTCTCTTGAAGAGAAGAGGTATTTTACCACTTTAAGCAATGGATTCACTCCAGACAAATCTTCCTGTGACATTTCCCTAGGTATGAGAGGCAAAAGGGATCTGTTACGTTTGACTCACCAGCATTGTTCTAGGAGGGTGGCTGCATTTGCAGGACTAATTCCTTTCATTAGTTTCTGTGTCTGAGAGTTACTAGAATGCTGAAGTCATTCTGGAGAAGTTAACAGTTATTTCTTTTTCCATGTATGCTCATAGTATTGAGATTTGTTAACTTCCATGCTAACTCTGCTACATGCCCTAGAGCATTATTGTAGAACTTTGTTCAGGTGTAACTGCCTGCATTCTTGCAGCTTATTAGTACTCCAGCATATTTGCCTTGAATCAAGTATTCTATTTCAGCAAGAAAAAGATTCAGACCATTGGACAAGGACTAAATGGTTTTGGTAATGATTTTCAGGGTGAAGAACAAACCACTACATTTTACCATCATAGCTCTGTTTTGGGGTTGCTTGACTGCTCACTGGGGAATGAGATTCCTAATTTATGATTCCTTCCATGCACATGCAGCACCTTCTGTTTCTTTAAGTCTTTAAGGGGTGTGTATCTTGTGATCTCTTTAGGATTATTGATGATCACGTGTTCATTTATTCTCCAGTCTGCACTGATGATTGAAAGCAAGAGCTGATAAGATGTCTACTGTCAGTTTTCTTTGGCATCCAGAATTATAATTATTTACAATGTAAATAGACTTTTTCATTTGAAGCTGTTTGGAGGCACAGAGCCTCTTTAAACTTTTTTATTCATTTTTTTTGTGTATGGGAATGGTTCTCTTCAATTTTTTGCATTAAAATGTCTCTGGAATTCTTTGTTACTCACCAAACAAATGTATTTGGGTTTGGTACAACTTGGCTTAATTGTATATCTTTTGAGGCTCACAGAGAATTTATTATTTGTTTACTGTTGAGGTGAATTTGGGCTTTGTGTAGCACATTTATACAGCTTTTAAAGACATTTAGCCACGAAACTTACATTGAAATCAGTGTCTAAATGCATTTAAATATCTGACCTGAAGATGTCCATGTAAAATACATTGGCAATTCAGGTCTTGCACCCAGTCCAGGTTGCAGTTTACAGTCAGATAGATAAATAAGTTCATCTTTTGCCTGGAGTTGGGAAATTGCCATTATTGCTGGCAGTTCTTAATTTAACCCAAACAAAAACTGCACAATGTTTGTCTGATCCATACATTTCTCAGCAATGGCCTCAGGTTCCAGTGGCTTCAGCAAGACTTGAAAATGTCAGCATTTCACAGGTAGTGTTCAGAGCCCTGGGACTAAATCCAGTAACTTAGTTGCCATAAATCAAACATCACTTTTTCATGTAGCTGTTACTGGGCTATTGTTTTAAGCACATGGCTCTTCAGTCATACAGGAAACTTGTAGGAAACAGAAAGGTGCAGATGCTTAACACAGTAGGTTAAGCAACAAGAGAAAGCAACTTCAGTGTGGCTTCACATATATGGAACAAAAGTAAAGGAAATAAAGTACTATTTTCTCTTCATTTTCTTTCATTTCTACTAATTTTTTTTATTTCTTTTTCTTTTTTTCCCCCCTAACTGGTAGTTCTGGAAAATAAGAAATGAGCTTAAAGGTACTTAGGATCAGAAAGCAAAATGGCACACAGTTTTGTTGTATGCATGCAGGGGAGTATAATGTTGCAGTTAAATGTATGGCAACCTGCTGCTCTTTTAAAGATCTGTGTAAAAGCTGAGTTACAGTGCTATATGTAAAGCACTCAGTTTTACTAAGTCGTGAATTTCAAAGTGTTCAGAAGAAACGAGCACTTAAAAAAAATTAATCCAATAGAAGAAATTGAATCTCTACACCTAGTTCATGCTCTTGAGTCTGTGAATGCAGGACATAATCAAAATGAAGCTAAAAAATTACATGGCTTTCTAATTAAATGCGCACATTTGTTCATTTAGCATTACATGTTAAAATGTTTCATGCATTTATATGCTTGACTTGGTTATCAAATGCAAAGCTGATGTCACTAAGGTAACTAAGGCAAATTGAGAGTTGGCAAATATCTCTGGTTGGAGTAGAAATAGATAGTGTAAATGTTATCAGGGAAGTGGCTTTGTCTCATTGAAAAAATGTTTTCCATTCAGTTCCACAAAGCTGTGGAAGTGTTTGTGACTCCTGCTGAAACAGGATCCTGGGAATAATTGTGCGCCTGGGAAGCTGACACTGTTTTAATTATTCCCCAAAAACCATGCATGTATGAAACACCTGCCAAGCCTTTTCCTGACATCATCAGCCACTGAGAGAAAGCTGCAGGCCTGCGTGGCATCAAGGAGCTGAATCACAGCCAAACCTTAAACGGGGCAGTTATTTTAAAGTCAAACATGACTTTAAAGTAACATGACAAGACATGAGTAAAACATGGTTCAAACGAGGAAAGTGGAACCCTTTCTGAGCCATTTTTACAGCAGCTGAATAGCAAATTTACCATTCTGTATAGAGCTGAATAGGCAGCAGTGGAGGGAGGAGTGTGATGGGGTCTCCTCTTTCACAAGGAGAGCACAGACACCAGCCTTACTTAATGTCTGCCTCCATTTTGCAATTGATCATTGCAGAAATCAAAAATGCTGCATTTTTCAATGGCATAGCTAAATTTCAAGTTAGTATTAGGGATCTTTTGAGCTAATTAGGAATAATTTATGGAGAAGTGAGAAGTAATTTTCTAAAACATCATGTGATTTGAGCTTGTTAGATTGACAGATCTGTACTGAATATATTTTTCATAAATGTTCTTGCTTAGCAGGATAATCTACAGTTCAGTGACTAAGGACCGTAATCTATACTACCTTGTTCATCTTCTTGTTCAGACAGAGCTGTCATTCTTAAATATCTTTAAATCCCTTTAGACCCCATCAAAGTATCTGTAACTCGCATGTTCCACCATCATCATCCTTTCCATTTCCTTCCCAAATGAAAATTGTGTTAAGTAATACTGATTTGATACTTCCCCCGGAAAATACTTACTGTATTGTTAATTTTTTTCCCCTAGCTCATTGTACTATAGCTCAGTGACTGCTAAACATCACAACAGAAGTTAGTTACATGTACACAATCAGTGCCATCGTATTGTATAGAAGAAGGCATTGTTTCCACAGAGTGACTTACTTACGCATCAGTTGGGTCTGTGGCTTAACTGTGTGTCAATGAGTATCCCTTGCTCATTGGTGTCCTTTGGAGCTCTGTGTGTTAAGCGTAGAAGATATCGGATATCAACACCAGTTCACACTCTTGAACTGAGTTCATTGTGATTTTTTTCCCTTGTATCTTTCTCTTTTTACCTGTTTTGTATCATGTCCAGGCTTTGGTCAGCTAAGGTTCTCAAAACCATTATTTTTAGTAATGACATTCACATGAGCCTTACAGAATCAAGATTGTATAATATAGTATGTACACAAACTAAGCTACACAGGCACACCAACTTAGATGTTTATAAATTTATAGACAAAGAATATCAGCATTTTTCTCTTTTTCAGGAAGTATGCTTGTGAAAGTCATGTTCTAGAAATGGGTCTATTTCTGCTCTCTAATGGCTTGACTGATGAAGCAGAATCTGATTACTAAATTTGTATCAGAACTAAGTGAGTGGTGGTACAAGGGCTTGAGAGGGTAGGATTTAAATTAGAAACAGTTACATGAAATGTAATGATCTGTAATATCAAAGTCCATAGTGCTCCAAAGTTTACATTGGGAGGTTTACAACAGTGAAGATACACCAACTCACTTGTGCATCATAACATTTTGTCATCACTGTCAAGACTTGGTTAAGGTAGTATATTAGAGACTGCTCTTGAAGAAAATTAGCAAGTCCTTTGGCAGCAGAAATGATCACATATCTCTGTAAACCATGGTAAAGGAAGATATCTAAGAAAGATGAAAAACTAAGGGTCATATGGTATCATTTTTCCAATCATGAAAGGCTCATGTGAAAATAAACTGTTCTGTGTTGAGAATCAAGCAAGAAATAATGGCCTTGCATTGCAGCAAAAGAATGTTAGGTTAGACATCAAGAAAAGTTTACTAATGGTAAGTTGAGTTAAACCCTGTGTAGGTTATCTTGGAAAGTCTTGACAGCTCCATCACTGCAGGTTTTTAAATCAGGTTAAATATATGGGGAAAAAAATAGGTGTAACTGATTTTTCTCTGAAAATGGGGGTGGCTTAGATGATTTGTCATCATCAAGTCATTATCAAGTGAACTGTAACATTTCTGTGCCAGTGGGTTTGGCATTGCAAGGCAGCTTTTATAGCTGGTTTTGTCGTAGTGCCACCAGCTGCTGCTGCATCAGTATGGGGAGTAAGTACAGAAATGGGTCTAGAGGAATTCTCCACGTGTCTGCTTTACTTGCAATGGCATTGTTGCTGTGCTGAAAAATGAATGAGGTTCATTTCTCAATGGTTTGCTACAATTGGAGGCCCACTGAAATAGCATGCAATGTGGATTTACCTGCATGAGCACTGGTAGATTAGCACATAACCACAGTATCCGGTGTATCACTGGGAGATTAAACATGATTTCAGTCACATGAGAACAAATTCATTTAGGAACTGGTTTCATGTGAATTCTCCTGTTTCATATAAAAGCTCTTCTGTCTTTGCTGTGGTTTCTTTGACTTGGTCTGCAGCCTGCATCTCACTAAAATGAGGTTCACTCTATCAGTCAACAACAAAACCTTCCAAGAATTCTTTTGATTAAAACAAAAAGAAAAATAATCACTATGTTGATGTGTTTCTATTCTTCATGGAGAGCTGATTGAAAGGGTCACATCTCTACATTTTAAACCAATTTTTTTCAGGATCTTCAGAAGAATGCCACTGGCTCTTGGTAATTTATTCCCTTTGTAAAGGTGTATAGTTTATATATACACCTTTCCCATACTTTCTCCTTGGGTGATATCAGTTTCTGTCAAGACTACATTGCAATTTCTTGTATAAGGCATCTTTTGAATATGAATTTTCATTTATTTCCACAAAAAAAGCTGGTATAGAGACATTCTGGTTTCCTTTAATAGCTTCACTTTCCTATTTTTAATCATAGCAAACATTGAGATTATTGCTTGTGATGGAAATAGGAAGTCTGCAATCCTTGTGGCATGCAGTAGTATCCATGGGCCTGATTCTGATGTCATGTGAGCTTCTAATTACTTTGCTGTTCCTAAGTTTAGTTACTCAGGATTTTTAAAGGTGTAAATGGGAATTTGGGCACAATTTTCCTGTGTCATCTAGTTTTTCCCTCTTTCCCACCCCTTTGGAATTTTTCATCTACCCACACTGGAAGGATTGAATTTGTTCTATTCTATAAAATACTGCTTTTGCAACATGAACTGAATTATTTCTGGTAGAATACCTAGTAGTGTTTCTAACATTTTCAAAAGCATTTAAGTAATGAAAGTAAAAGTGCCATTACTTATACTAACAATGGCCAGAGTAACTCCAAAACCAGGTATTTTTTCTCCAGCATAAGTTAATCTCCATTATTACATTTATGTTGCTATGGTTCAGCTGCTTTCAGTGCTAAGGATAGTGAGTCTATACACTATACAGATGTGTAGACAGACCTTCAGAATCAATGTTTCTTTCTTTTTCCAATGTTTCTTGCTAGTGGAGTGATTTATAGACAGCCTGTATGTGAAGACTGAGGCGTATTACAGCTCAGTAGCTGAACAGTCAGCAGCAATGTTGAGTTGCCTGACTGAAACCAGGCCCATGAACCCAGATCAGCAGCTGATACCACATTTTCAGAGGTATTCCCTGCCAGTTTGACATTGTGGTGGGCTGACCTTGGCTGTCTGCCAGGTGTCCCCCAAGCTGTTCTGACATTCCCCATCTTGTCAGGACAAGGGAAGAAAAATGCAATGAAAAGCTCATGAGTAACTACTAGTAATCAAGTGCATACTTCTGGTAGCAACAGTAATTCTGTGGAAGGACGGGCTCTCTTGCGGCAAATACAACCCAATTTAGGATTGTTTTAATCAGAAACAATGCATCACTGGGATCCTGACAGAGAGTTGGGGTTTGGGGGCTTCCGAATTCCAGAGGCTGATTTTTGCTAGCTTGAGCTGTACAGAAGGGAAGTTGCGGATTTTTACCTTTGTGCTTTAAACAATTACATAAGGTTCTAGCTGTGGCAAGGTTGTGTATTTTTTTTAGTAGAAGACAGAGATTATTTTCATGCTGCTCATTTAGATCCAGATCCAAACCACCACAAAATCTGAACATTTAAATTTATATGATGATTCAGTCCGGTTTTGGCATTGTAGGCCATTTGCAACATACTGATCTGACAGTAAATTTTGATTTTGACATCCACCACAGTGATACTTGAGGATTATTAATAATTTTTACCTTGTATTTGATTTATTTTTAGAAATGTTAGGGGAAAAAGGGAGTGCATCATCTCAAAAAATGCTTGAGGAAGTTTTGGGGAAAAGTGGCAGGTTATCTAACCAGTGCCACTAAATAAATTATTATCTAAATAATATATATACAAGATAAATAGTAATAAAGAACTTTACAGATAATGTAGTATATGCACAAATGCAGTGTAAAATACAGTCCTAGACATAGGTTATACTTTCCACTTTAAGAGGTGTGCCAGTACTAAATGATAATGCATTTATAAAATGGATCCCTTCGTTTTGTCCAAGGAAAACACAAGTTTAAATTCAATTTACATTTTAGGGAGAATGTTTTTCTTCTCTTTCTTTGTGTCAAAGAATAAAGGGGGACTTAAATTCCCCTTATCTGACATACAAGTCCGAAGTTCCCTCATGAAATTGAAACGTTACAGAAAAGATGAATGTTTATGAACTTCATTCTCTTTTGACAATGAAAAACTCTTTGTATTAATCCCAGTTTGAGGACCATGAGCATACCAAATAATTTTTATGAACCTCAATTTTTTTAATCCACTAAATGAAATTGGTAGCATCTTTTTTGGTATTGGATAGCTGAAGATTCTGAAACAAGTTCTGTCTGGGTGGACTTTGCTGTTGAAGAAATCCATTGACTTCAAAGGCCTGACAATGAGGATTACAGCCTGCAGAAGGTTTTTATGTTACTTGAATCGGCATTAATGAAGTAGGAATTGGCCTTTAATATTTTTAAGGCAACATAATGTGATGGTAAAATAGTAACAGATATAGACAAATAATCTAAGACGTCTTCTTGCTCTTTCTTTGACCCACATGGCTTTAGGAGAGCACATGTGTTTTACTTCTTGCTCACCCATCAAATTTTGAGTGTCTAAGTTTGAATTCTGTGAAAATAGCTTCTCACGGCCCTGGGAAAAATATTTAATGTAAAATCTTAACAAACTAATACATTACTTCATTTTAATTGCATTTTTGTAAACTCATTTTACACATCTGCACAGATTTTTTATGACAAATTCTTTGTTCATAAGCTGTTGCTGTGTTTAACAGTATGCACTTTCGTATAAGAGGAAATGGGACTGGTCTGGGTTTTTTTCTGAATTGATTGTATGTGCATATTTAGAAATTGGGGGAGGGAGAAAAGGGAAAATCAACAAAAAAAAGTGTGTATGCCAGTAAACCTTTTATAAGAGTAAAGAAATGACAGTATTTAGACTAAATTTTTTCTTTTTCTTTGCTTTTAGGCAGCAAACCAGTAACCAGTCTTCTCCTGTTGTGCCTGACTTTCCTGACAAACAAACTAAAAAGGTAGTAGTAAGTTTATATTCTAAAACAACATCCCATTATAACTTCAAATTCCTGAGTCCACAGTTCTGCAATGTGTTCATGTCTGCTTGGCATAGCCATCTGAACATGAAACCGTTAGTGATGTTTTGAAGTCTTTGAGACAAAAGCCTGCTTGCTAAGAACTTTAGTTCTGTAGAGAGACAGGGAGGTACAGTGAATAAGAGAATCAAAAGGCTGGAAATTTGCTGCTGAGAATAAATGCTAGCTGCTCCCTGAGGTGATTTGTCTGTGCACTTCACTTTCTACAGATGTTAGAGACTCTTTTTTAGTAAGGACCTGAGGTTCTTTGGTAGCACTTTGATATCCTGCTCGAATTCAATATGTGAAATGGAGGAGTCGCTCTGTGACTTGGAGCACAGCATAGTCTTTGAAGTCTGATCCAATTTTTGCTGCTTACCATTTGATGTTGAAAGGATGAAATGGAGAAAATGTACAGTTTTTGCCAGTAACTCTGCTGAGCATATGTAAGATTAAAAAAACAAAATCCCTTGGATGATGTACTTAGAAATGTTAAGCAGATTAATACCTTCCTATAGCTTTTTCTAAAGATACAAATTAACTATGAGAGGAAATCAGCATACAGTGCATGCTATGATTTAACTGCATGAGGAAAGGGGATAAATAAGTTAAATGGAAAAAAGTAAACAAATGTTTGTGACAGGGGTGCTAAGTCAGTGTTGCTGAAAGCCACAAGAATCTTGTGTAACTTAAATCTAGCATTAGATGTTTCAGAGAGTCTTGGAAAATAACAAGTTGCTCTCTATGAGATCACAGCTGTAAGTTATCATAAGCAAGTGGAATCAATACATTTCTTATGTGCCTAAACCAGCATTCTTTATTCCAGGATAATTTGGATGAGATTTCTGCTTCTCCATTTATTCAAAAAAATTCATTTGAAACGAATGATTCACAATCAGTTAGCCAATCCCAGACAGTTGCAGACCATCAGTTGTCAAGTCTCTTGACATCCTGCAAAAAAGGAGGTAAGAAATAATAAAGTAGCAGAGATATTTTGTTTACTGCTTATAAGCTACATGTTGCCAGCATGCAACTTGCTTTATATATTGGTGAGATCATTTAACAATCCCTTGAAAGGCAGGAAACATAACGGAAAAACTTTCTTCTACACATTTTCACTCTGGAAATATGAAAAAGCCCTTAAGTCTCTGTATTACAGAGGCAAAAGTAAAATGATTTTTAAAATACACCTTCTGTTAAAAGTGTCATTACTAATCTCAAAATACCCCTTTAATGAAATCAAATCTGCCTTCAAGAGCTTCAGCTTTCCTTTGCCTTCCAACCTCAGAAGTCAAAGACGGTAATGAAATCTCTCATGTTGGGCAGAATGAAAGACGACTAGTTTGTTCACACACACAAAGATTCAGTCAGCAGCACGGGAGCATCTGCAATAGTTCTACAATCTATGCAGTGCAATTTTTTTTTATTTTATTTGCTGGTATGTTACTTTTGCCTTGTTTAGCAAGAGTTTCAAAACTTAATGTAAAACATTTTGACATTTTTTGAATTTTACCTGGTTTATCTTTGGATATTCCAGAAAATCATTACCTATCAGAATACTTTTCTCTTTTCATGGGTTTTGTAATCATCCTATTTTTGCAAATCCATGAATGCAGAGTTCATTACTAGACTGTAGAATAACTTTCACAGTTTAAGATGAAGTAGGTTGATAATGTGATATCTGTAACCAGAGCCAAAATGTGTATGATAGTAAATTAATTTTCAGATTAATACTGAAAATTAGTTGTTTATACTGGCGTGCTATTAATTATCATTACTGTTTGTTTATTTATTTCATGGGACACCTTTCATCTTGTAAATATACAAATATTTATCTGAATAATTATGCCCTAATCCTGCAATTTATGTGTTGAAATTTTACAGAGTTCAGTAAAACAATTTACAATGTAAAGGCAAGAAGATTGGTATTTATAGGGAATTTGTTCTGTTAATTCAATGTTTTTCCTCTCTTAATCAGGCATAATGTGCTTTCCATGCTAAAAAGAGAATAGTATTTAAACAGAGCAGATTGAGAAATCCATTCTTCCCTCTTCATGCATTTCAGTCCATATGGGCTTTGAATCCGTAGTGTGGAACTGCAGGGGAAGTTTGCATTGCTATCTAAAATTATTGCATGTTAAACAATAAACCTGTCAAACAGAAATATCTTAATTGCAGCAAATCCTCTTGAGGAAAGCAGTCAGGGCCCAAATCCATCATCTTTACTCTCACTGCATATTGCATGTTACCTTGCAACTGGTCTCCTTGAAATCAAAGACCTTGTGTCTGAGGTAAAACAATTAGAGTAAAACTGGCAGAATTACACCCTTAGCAAATATAATTCAGAACCATTACCCAGTAATTTAGAGTGTCTTCAAAAATGTGGAATCATAGAAGAATAAAATTTGAAAAGGAGATAAATGCAACATTGATCTGAACTATTGAAGAGACATCTATATTTAAATGAATAAGCATGCAAATGCAGAGAAGAAGTTTCCCAGTTAAGCATGAAAATATTCAAATAGATGATGATATAAATCACATTTCAATGAGTAACTATTAAATAAGTAAACCTGGTGATGAATAATAACTTCTTCGGGTGGTTTTAAAAGCATGGCTTGCATTCAGAGATGCAGATGCTTTCACCTGGTGCTCAGTCTGTATTCAGCTGCAGTGTATGAAGTACACTTTTAAGCAGGTTGTATTCTTATACCTACTGTGAAAACCAAGTGAAATAGGAAATATCTCTGTGGAACAAGAAAGCACATATAAAATATGTGAGCTGTACAGTGTGATACTAAATAAGCTGCTGTTCACACTAAAAAGCTGCCCACTAGGTAGTCCAAACAATGCAAAGACTGTTATTTTTCATAGTGAAACATTTTTCTGCCATGTTAGAGACTGTTTTTTAATTCTCTGTAAGTTACATTACAGACAGCACTAGTCTGCCAGCTTGGTGGTGCTTGGACCTGAAATACAAAGGCCAATGGGAAAGGGAATGTGACATGTTTCTGCACTGGTCCATGACCCAGTCATGAAGCAGCGTTGGTGTTTGCTTAAGGAGGAAGTCTGTATGCAGGCTTAAGCACAAAAGGAAAGACAGGCTGCTTATTTGTCTTGAGGCCTTAGCAGGTGAGGGTCTGGTTCAGTCAAGAGGGGACAGAACACAAAAGGACAAAATGGTTGATATGACTTTGCATGTTTTTGTATTAATCTGTTCTCTCATATCTTGTTATCTGGCTGTCTAATAGCACAGGCTGCCTGTTCTTAATAACAGATTGGCAAAGGAAGAGTAGAGAAGAAAATTTCTACAAAAATCACGCAAGGACTATACTCTGTAATTAATACAGAGACAAAAGCCTTTTTTTCACATCAAAAGCCTTCTCACTGGGTCATAGAAAGACTGAGCAGTATGGCCAAACGCAAGCACAGCAAGTGCATGCATGTGCTATGGTTCTATAGAGTCACAGGGCTGGTTTTACACTGCACAGACATTCCCCTGCACTCTGCCAGAGCACTGGGGCAAGAACAGTGACAATGCTGAGAATTCCCTCCAATGTTTCTGCTGTACACAGTGCCTGGGCAGAGAGTCCAGTCATTAGTAACAATTAAGCCAGAAGTTAATTATTCTAGTCATAATACAGTACTGAAGAAATCGAAATAATATAATCTCCAGAGGCCAAGTAGTGATATTGCCATAGATGAGATAGATGGTGAGAATGTATGAAATTATTAATGAAGAGTGCTTCATAGGGAATTGACCGATGTAACTTTGCTTCAAAGGTAAATGTGACAGATTATCTGAGATGCAAAGGAAATATGTTTGCAAAAGGAAAGCTAATAGTATCTCTGCATTGACCAAGTGATGACATATTTTTTATGCTTAGCACAGACATTTTGAACAAGTGAGAAAATACACAAAGAGTCTCTGGTTGTGAACATTGTCCCATGGGAGAACAATGTGACTTGTGGATATGTTCAGTTTATGCCTTTCACCCCACATTGCAATGCTGAAACTTTGTGAAAAGTAGAGAAATTTGCCAGGATTCTGTGAGATCTGGAAGTATAGTCTGTAGTATTGTCTATAGCCACAGTCAGAGGCAGTGAATAGTCCATTTCACAAAGTATAGCCTTTGATTTTAGATTCTTTAATCTTTTATATTTTCAAAACTAGGGGAAATTAGGGCTTGATATGTTTCAAGCTGGTGTCCCATTAGTCAGTGACCCATTTTTAATGTTTTTCTTGCAATATGTATTTTTTTTTAATGGTGATAATTTTCTCTTCCTTTCTGGTAAACCAGTCATAAAATGGGATTTGGTAAATGTAGCTGTGCTGGGTTTGGAGAAACGTATGAAGTCACTGGGTTTTGCACTGATGGAGGACAAGCAGATAATTAAATATGTCAAGTTACTGCTTGATGGGGAGGAAGGCTGCTGCCCACCTTGCCCACTGTGGTCACATTTTAGTAGGGGCATTGTGGGAATGGGAGACATTATTCCCAAAATGTTACTCTGTGGTTGTCTTCACACAGATGATATTTACCGGTTCATCATCCTAAACAAGAAATTTTAAATAATCATGACTTCATTTGAAGTTCGGACTTAACTCCAGTTTTAAAGAAGTGATCCAACTTTAATGCTAAGAAGCATGATCGTGTTAAAATACCCAATCCAAAAAGAACAGTGGCTTGGAAGTTTGATCTTTGCTTTAGAGTACAGTTTTCTTTGTACCAGACTTTATTATTGATAATACTTTAAACTGCCTCAATCTAAAGTACAGTCTTAATTCAATGTCTTGTGCTTGCAAATGAAAGGTGCTTAAATATAGAGAACTATGTTACACTACATAGTAGTTTAATGCTGTAGTAGAGTTTTAACTCTGGTCTCATTTCATTACTATTTTTACGTTTTTTGAAAAAAGTTAACAGCTATGGCAAAGCAATAACCAGTAGTGACTTGGAAATGGGGGCACTTTTTATCCTTGAATTCACAAAAATTTAATATCCCAGCGTGGCTGTAATAGGTATTATAGTAAAGAACAGGTAGAACAAAATGTGGTATCAAGATCTGGGTGCCTTGTAACAAAAGATGCCACTTCACTTTGTGCAAGTAGAGAGAGATCAAGCCATTCAGCTGTTTGTGTAACTCAGCTTCCTGTTTGATTTCATTGTAACAAACCTTCCTTTCTAAGTAACGACAAAACCACTGCTACATGATGTAGTGTAGTGAAATACTGCATGGACTTTCAACTAGTTGTCACTGGCAGATGGGATGATATGGACACATAATGCCATTCCTTTCAGAATCCTATAATTCAGGAATGTAAAGGAAAGAATTTGTAATCTATTTAGAATTACTTTTGGTTGTTTAAACAGGAGTTTCATTTCATTATTTTTAAGCTCTCCACTGAGACTAATCTTACACTGAGGGAATATAAATCATAAAAAACTTGACTGTAGTCAGTAAAATCATAACAGTGAGAAGAATTGGGTCTCTTGGTTATAAAAAATTTGCATGAAAAGTTTTCTATATGTCTGGGGTTTAGGGGAGCTTGGGGCAAAATATTTGGTTTTGTTTCAGGTGGTTTTTCTGAGTGGGTCAGGTTTGAGTTGGTCATTCTTTTACAAATAAAATAGCATGATCACAGGACTGTTGGACTGTTACAAGGAACTCTGAAAAGGCCAAGATAGTGTTACATACTATGATCTGATTGTGCTGAGCATGCTGTAGCTCTGTGTGAGGCCTGTGAGATCTCCATAGTATTCTCCTATAACATACCACGCTCTAACAGACAAATTACTGTTAACCTTGTTGCAGCTGAAGGCTCCAGCAGAGGAGTTGCTGATGTGGTATGTTGCCCAATGAATTTCCAATGAAAAGATCCTGCTAGTGTTCTGTGGCTTTTGAACCAAAATCTGACTGGGCATATGCAGGAGAAAAATTAGCTTATTTTTATTTTTAGTAT